AGAACATATTAATGCATATACATTCTGAAAATATCTGATACCTATGTAAACAATTATTGCCTGAAGAACTGAATTTTAAGATTTCTAAATATATCTTTTATTCCCCCATGAATTCTGGCCCCAGAAATAAAATAAACTTTAAAAGAAACATAGTCTCTTTCTGTCCAATAAAGAGACTCCAGGATTCCGAATTTTATCCTTAAAATGGAAGAGACTTTTTTAAGTTGACACCTTTTGCTTCATTTTTCTGACTAATTCCTGGTATTAATAATGTCAGTACCAAACATTAGCAAAGCAATCTTTTGTGTTTTGTGACAGATTTCCTATGAATGCAACCCATAGCCAAAGCCACCACATACTATTTTCTTATTAAGATGGAAATTATGGACATATCCTACATTCAAGTGCACCTTCTGGTTGATCCATGTTCTCATAGAGTAACTGGTCTCTGAACCACAATTTATCCTTCACTTTACTGCACATTCATATTTGCAAAAGAAAAAGAAAAATTTCCCAGCTTGTTTCTTAAACTAATAGAAATTATCATGGCTATATTTTCTAAATAGTTATTTTCTATCTGAAAGGATAATCTCAAGTAGGAAATACATATTTTAAACCCACAACATTCACTTTTGGAATGTTATGTACAGTTGAAACCTCTAAAGTAAAAATTTTTTATAGATTATTTAAAATTTAGGTTTTGCTGTTTATTTTGAAGCAACTCACATAAAGATAAATACCTATCATGTGAATCTACTGGGCATTAGAATTACAAATTATAATAACATTATCTAGTAAATGATATCTGGTCAAGTTTCATGAAGTGAAACTAAAGTGCAGAAGTCTGAAAAAGTAGCAAGAAAAGCAAAAGTAAGATGTATTTCTTTCTGATGCCCATAATTGATGATTTTCACCTGCCTTTTTCTCACTAATAGGTAAAAAAGGTGGCAACTGACCTTAATATAAATTGGAAACTGTTGCTTTGTTTTAAATTTCCCTTTTTTCATCTGTTAAATAAAGGCAATGAAATATACAATAGCATAAGGATTTAATGCTAATTTTATGTTATAATAAAAAAATAATTTGAAATAAAAACAAAATAAATGTGGCTTGTATAAAAATGCAATTGATGCTGTATAGTTAAGACATTTGATATGAGCTACAAAAAGGAAAATATAGAAAACCAAATAAATCTAAAGATAGTGTGATCCATGTTGAAATGCAGAATTCTTCAAAAGACATCTTGGAAAGTACCATTATTCTTGAGGATTTTAAAAAATAGATTCTATCTTAGTATTATTAAATTGGAACCTGTAAAATTGTTGTAAACTGTTATTAATAGTACTTAAGCTACATTTTAATAGGTGCATACATATTCCATTTAGGAACATGTAAGATTTAATATATTATAAACAAGGAAGTTAATGATTGAACTTTATTGTGGCTGGCTATCCATATGAATTCCTAGTGGTAGCAGTCTAAGAATTTGAGATATTCAAAGTAATCACTAATGGAAGTCAAAGATTAACCTTAACATGGGAAGTATAGACATGCAATATTGTATTTCTCACATAAATCTTAAATTTCATAAAATAGCTACATTAAGTGTCAGATGTAAATAGGACACAAATACATTTTCTTGCTCTGTTCATATCCCTATGGGTTTTTAATACATACTACATTTATTTATTTTAAAGATGTTTATTTAAATTCAATTATAGCAAACATAAATTTGGTCAAAGTCGAAAGCAATAAATTCCATATATTGTACAGAGAATAATCTATGTTGCAAAGTGTAAAACCCATGTGAAAAAAGCAATATAGGCTCAGTTGAAAATTTTAAATTAAATATACCTAAAAAGGTATTGGACTAAATGATAACAGATGGAGTATAAGATTTCCAAATTTTAATTTGGTTAACTTTCTTGTAGTACCTATACACACACATGCTACTTTTATGTACTCTAAGTAAAACAGTAAACTATAAGATATATCAGAGTAGAACAAGGAGGACATCTTGAGGTCATTCTAGAAATGTACATGTTGCTAATCTTATACAGAGTACACATGCAATTTATGTCTTAAAAATAGATCTTTCAAGCTAAGTTAACAGTTCCAATAAAAAGTGTGGGGTTTTTTTTCTTCTTCAGGAAAAAAAAAAGTTTTATGCAAAGTTTCTCAAGAGCATTTAAATTCACTTGAAAGCTCTACCTGTCCACCATCAGGTACTCAAACACACACACTTGAAGACTACTAAGAAGTTGTTTTTGCTGAATGACAGGTAATATTTTAAAATAAGCATAACACTGTACAAAACATCTTAGCAAAACTGGCTTAAATATTTTTTCCACAGTGGTAAAATAGCATCTTCCCCCAAACATTGGTCCAGTGCACTTCGATCAGCAGTCCAATGTCTTCCTATTTTTCCCTCCCACTTCTAGAAAAACAGAAAACAGCTAGCACAGGCTTTGAGTTGCCCCATGTATGTCTTTTCCTATGAGCTTTGAGTTAAAGCTGGACTCGCAGGACCATTGGCAGAATGTTCTGGCCCCTCGGTGCCACTTGTGGGTTCAGCACCTTCCACCTCTTTGCTTCCTTGGTGGGTCTTGTCTGGGGCACCAGCTTGATGAACGCAATTAGCATCCTGCTTTGCTTTGTCCACTTCATTATCAAATTCAACTTTATCTTCCTGATTGTTGTTTTTCTTTACTTGTCCATTCTGGGCAGGGTAGGTGCTGGCAATGATGTCATATAGGAACTGGTATTGCTCCTAATGAAGGAAAGCAGCAAGAAATTACATGAGGAAAACTGATGTCCTTGTTTATATGTCAGATGAAAATTAGCAACAACTAATCCTTTATTTCTGGAAGTCTGGATGAAAGTTCTCCGACATGTCTGCATAAGGAAAATTTTGAATGACTTATTTCCTTGTGGTCCTAAAGGATGAGCTACTTTCAAAATGGACCCTAAAGCACCACCAAATAGGAGTTCATTTCCTTTCTAACGTGTGATGTCTCAGTCCCATGCCTTTGCCCTTGACGCCATTTGGGGGCTTATCTTCTTGGTTAATGCATACAGACCCCTTAAGAATCAGAGCAGAAATCACCTGCTTCAAAAAGTCTACCCTGATCCCGATAGCCTAATGCCCCTATTCGTGTCACTATAATTTCTCTATGGTTTTAATTACTACGTTGTTGACTAAACATCTGCCGTTTCCCAACATCAAACAATGAGTCTCTCAATAATAAGAGTACGGTAGCAGGCACTCAACACATTTTTAAAATCAATATATATGTAAACTCAACATCGTACATAATAAAATGCTTCATAGATTTTAGAGAGCAATAATTAAATTTATATTGTAAAGAATTACTAATTCCCAATTAATCATCTACAGTTACTACAACATAAAGAAGATACATGATTGATTTTTTTTAAAAAAATGTAGCATTTATTATTCTCCTGTATGTACAGCTCTTCATAATGCAACTTCAGGCACTTAGGAAAAGACTAGGAGGAGTCTGTGTTCCCCACCCCTTAAATCCAGGTGGCATTGTGACTTTTTCAGCTGATAACAAGGCAGAGGAAGACTGGGTGTGTTTGATTCAAGCCTGAACCTCAGAAGGTCATCCAGTCACAGCTAAATGGCAGCCAACTTTCAGCCTAATAGTGACAGAGATCATTTGAGAGTGACTAGACCCCAGAGGACTCGTCATCTGGTGGCAGACATATCAGAGAGCCTGTTCATCTGAGCCCAAGGAGATCAGTAGAGCAATCCAGATAGCAATAGACTTATTGAACTATGATCAATGCTGTTTAAACCACTACATTTTGGGATGGTTTCTCACACAACACTAATGGATAAAGAATTAAAGGAGGGGAAATTAAGCAATCCATAATCATTTAAGGATTTTTTTTTAATGGTCTGTCACAACAAATTGCTCGAAAATGCTAATTACGTCTCTTATTTGTATTGATAAAAATTTCATGTGAATTGTAACATAAAAATAGAAGAGAGAAAGAAGAATAGGGAATAGAAGGTAAGGACAGGAGAGGAGGAAAGAAATTCAAAATAAAAAAGAAAAAAGTGTTAAAAAAACAACGGTGAGGTATACTTACAAATGTAGAAACCATTCCTGGCCTAGATTTTCGTAGAGATTTCACTACTTGGAAAACATCCACTACCTCTTCAGTTTCTGCACTTTCCAAGAGATTTAGCAAAGCACAAAATATTCCTGTTTGCTGAGATCCATCTCTATAAGAAGAAAAAATTAAAATAGAAAACTAATGTATTTTATGGAAAAAGTGATATTCGTATGAAGTAGGGAGAGATAAAATATATTTTTTTACTAGACTGCATTATTCCAATTTCATAAAAGTCAGTTATTTCTGTTAAATAATTTTTTTAGAGGGGAATGATTGATCATTTTCAATTCAGGATTTTAATATTCCTGTATTTTTATAAACAATTGGATTGGGCTTTTAAAATATATATTATTCTATTTAGTGGTTCATTGGTTTTAAATGCATTTTATTTACACCTGAAATTATTAGGACCAATATAGAAATGTCAGCTTGATAGATGAGGAACTCAAGAGTTAAAAGCACTAAAGGCATAGTTAGAAATTGATAAAACCAGAAGTAGGAAACCATCTGCTTTTCTTTGACTCTTCTGCTCTGTACACTTTTTACAAACATTTCCACTTCCATACCAGAAGAGGCGTGAGAACTGAGAAGAATTATTCATTAAAACAAAGGAAAACAAATGATCAATTTTCTATGAGAGGTGTAAAGCATTATATAATAGATTTAATTTTAGCATGCATTATCATCAGGATGCTGTGTACCATACATAACTAAAGAACAGTTAGTCGATATTTATTCATATCCTAAGCATATTTCTTAATACATAGAATATGAAACTTCCTTTCATTTCCTTTCTTTCCAGGTAAGTCTCACTTTTGAAAATTCAAATAAGTGATGAAAAGTACGACATCTCCAAGGGCTTGATTCTAGTGTCTGCAATTCCAATAACACTGAGGCTTTTCCAAAAATTCTAAAAGTATTTCTGTAGGTTTATATTTCTCACTTTGCTTTATGATTTTTTTCAGTTCTCATTTATTTTCATATTCACTTTCACATAAACCTTCTATATTATGAATCTTTGTCTTAATATCTTCTAGTTAAGGTGGCTATTTACCACAGGTAAAATTCTGCACAGAAAAACATTCACCACAGGTGAAATTGGAAAGCCAGCATAACAGAAACTAATAAAATCAAGTATTAGATTTTGTATTACTAAAATATTTGCCTCTGAGGTCAGTTAAGAAAATCAAATAATGGATTTAAAATCAAAATTGCTAAGCACTGAGATATCATTTAATATTTAAATCTGTTTATGGAAGATGAAGCTTTCAGTCCTCTGGCTTCTGAAACACCAAGTAGAGGGAATCAATGCAGATGAGCATATATCCACTGCAATCCATCCATCTATCTGTTTATTCACCCTTCTCTCCATTCATTTGCTCATTATGACATTCTAGGTTCAGGTACTGAGGAATCCAAGATGACATGATATTTGGTATTTACTGATCTAAATTTATTGCCTGGATTTATTAAACTCAAATATAACCATTTCTATCATATTTATATAACCATTACTCTGAAGAAATATAACACAGAGTGACTGTCTCCATCAGAGATTTTCTCTGGAGTCATATGTTTTATATATCAGGACAAATAGAAAAAAGTGCCAACAAAGAAGTCAAGTATTTGGATTTTTAGAGCACATCCTATCAAATTCCACCCACCTGCAGTGAATTAGGATAGGCACACTCTTGGTGTACTTATTCCCTTCAGTGGAAGTCTTCTTGGAGAGTTTTTGTTTGAGACTCTGAATCATGGAAATTAAGTCTTTGGGATCTGCAGGAAGTTGTTCCATACTCCAGTTGGTGTACTGGTACTGGTACACGGTTCTAGGCTCTTTCCTCTAATATCAGAAGGGAAGGGGACATTAGCTGAAGTGATGCTCCATCCATATAGTTTACAGTCACATTTTCTTTACAATTGTTTTCATGTAAATAATTTAAAATTTTTATTCTAAACCATTACACAGATGGTAGCTTTTCTCAAATAAAATAATTTATTTTAATATTCCTACCATAGTTAATTATATCAAAGGTATATACCATCTAAATTATTTATTTACCTTGGAATGTCTCAATTCAAATACACGGAGAGTATAAGTTGAATGTTTGGTTGTGTCCTTCAGATCAACTTCTAAATCTCCAAATGTTTTCTTTTCTTCTCCCCAGTACTGAGCACAGATTTCCTAGATAAGTAAGAGTATGATTCAATGACATCTACACAAATGTTGAATTTACTACTTGAAGTACTCAGAGAATCAATCTTTCTCTCTTTTTT